AGTACTTAACCAAAAAGAGGATCCTCTGTTCCAGTAGCTTTTAACTGCTGACATTTTCTTAGTTGCCTGCCACAAACCTACTGCTCCCCAGTGAGAAAGCTCTACTCCTTCTGCATTCTGACGATGAATGTGTAGGATCATTAAGGGTGGGAATGTGACTGTTCTTCATAGGCTTTACTTTTGTAGAAAAACTTAGCACAAGCAGGATGAATCCTTTCTTTTGAAAGGATTGATGTCTTCCTTTGAAACACTCTTATTAATAAAAATTTAAATCCTCTCCCTGATCATAGTCCCTAGAGAAAGGCTGAAAAAATTATGCAGAAGGCTTTCTTTTCAATCAAAAACAAACAAATCTTGAACAAGGGTCCTTTTAAGCTGGAGCTAAGTCAAGGCATGCTAAAATTTGCCACTCATTTTTCTCCCTCTCTCCCTCATCCGCTTATCAGAGGCTGCAGAGATGTAATTGCATAGCTATACTTAAGACCATATAATTTCCCCTCTGCTTCCTGAAGCTGTCTGATTTCAAGCCCCTTTATGCTACACTGATCCAAGAAAATGTTTTGATATATGCTGTTTCTTTCACTGCCACTGAGGCTTCTTATCCCTCTCTCCATTGCCTCTTGTGTTGTGCTCTGTGGATTGGCAGGGTGGAAAGCTTTGACCAGCAGAGCAAAAGCATGATGTATGTAGTAAGAACTACACTTGTGTTTGAGAACCATTGAAGAACTCAGCATCTTAGTGTTTAAACCTTGATAATTAAACTGCAGAGCCTTGTAACCTATTCTGTGTCTACCTTACTGTATTAGGCAGTATATCTTTTGTCTGTAAGTTGTACATGGAACCCCCAGTCCTGCAAATTCATGTGCAATAATTTTTAAGTCAAAAGTGAAACTTTTGAAAAGAGACACTCCAGTGGGAGTGGACTTCACAGGGGATTCTCTGCTAGGCTGTTCTTCTAGTGCACTTTGCAGTAAAATAAGTACTTCTGTGGATTGGGGAGTTCAGCCCTGTAATCGGCTGTGTAAAAAGGGTTGATGATTTACAGACTTCTGAAGGAAAACTGAAAGCAGAAATCCTCCACGAATCCAATGAATGGGTCTCAATTTCATCATTAATCTAGAGCTACCCAGTGCAGTTGTAGACTGCTGCTTTTTTTTAGAACTGGAAATGAACTGGGTTGTGCTGAGGTTTTCTGCTCTCTTCCTCTCTACTTAACAGAGACTGCACAAACACAGTTACAGACCTCTGTTTGTGACTATATAACTTTCTCTGCTGCTTAGGGAGTGACAGGTGCCTGTTAGCATGTTTGTATATGCAACAGTTAACCAGATTTTCAGGAAGAAAAATTGCGACCAACTAACCAAGCCTACATGGAAAGGTATTTATATGAAACCAACATGTTTTATGTAGGTGCAGATCACTTGCCTAATTTCAAAAGCTGTTGTCCAGCTTGACAGAGAATGTAGGAAGATCTTAGGGGAGATGGTGACATGTCTCTTTGAACCTCAGTTCCTCCTGTGCTTGATGCGTACGCTGATGCTTCTTCTTCCACATGAGGATTGCTAAATATATAACCCTTGGTGGTAGGGGCAGTTACCTTGTGTAGGAGAAGAGGGATTAGAGACAAAAGTGTCATCAGTATAGGCAATCGGAATAGTTCTAGAAGGCACGGATAGGTGGACATGGCCTTGTACTAGGGTAAAATGACTGATAGATAAGATGTGGTTGATTTGTGGAAAGATTTACCTGCTAAGAAGGTTCTGTTACTGTGTGGCATTGCCAAAGTCTTAAACTGGGCAGTGTTTTTTGGAAGTAGAATTTTGAATGGACTGCAGGAGAGGTGTATTTGCACTTGTCAGAGCTGTCAAATGGTGGAATAATACCTTGATCAGGATTTAGCAGAGAGGAAAGGCTAAATTATTATACAATTTTAACCATGAACTGATTAAAATAAATATTTATTTTTGTTCTTAGTGGCCTCAGATTCACTGCTACCCCTTCCTCCGTGAATTGGTGCTTTATAGATTATTGTCTCACCTTTGGATTCAAAATAGTCAGCTTATTTGTCCTGTTTAATTGGAGTTAGTTTAGCTTCACAGGGAACAGCGTGATGTCGCAGTTGCTGTGGCATATTTGGTCGTGCAAAATGATCAAGAAAACCTACTAATCTGGTAGCAAAATCTACATTCTTTCTACTACTACTATAACTAGAGCATGCTAACTTTAGATTGGTATGTATCTTAAAAGATAGCATCTCTTCCAGTTCAATTACTTTCCTTTTTTAAATAGGTACATTGTTTTTAGGATCTCTGTGACCACTGCAGTTGTCAAAAGCTTTGACCTTTATATGCTTTCTGAAACACTATTACAGAGTTTGAAGTCTTTGAAGCCTACACAGTCTATTAGTGCTGTGTATTACTGATGAATTCCAGCATCCTAAGGTGCTTTCCAAACTGGAAATATTTGCTTCCTTAAAGCAGCTGATTTGATTTTTAGAAATATTGTGGCATATTGCTGTCTGTCTTGTTACTTTTAAATTAGAGATGATTAAAAAGCCATAGTACTGGCTGCTGTGAGGATAATGTTTGTGTTCTCTCTCTGCTCAGATTTCAGATCCAGTAGCCGGGCTAAAATGCAATTGAACTTAGCCCTCATCAGCTGAATGTTTCCTGCAGGCAAGTTGTTTTCAGCTAATAATTTAAATTTAGCATTTTTGATCTTCATTTGATGCTTTGTACAGTCTGTTTATGATGCCTTTGTGCAGTAGGAGTGAACATTTGGAATGAGCTGTTTGGGTTGAATTTTACTGAGATGCTCTTTTTTGTCACCAAGGGACAAATGATGTTTTTTGTCATTCTATGTTATTAAAGATGTAAGCAGCTTTATTCTTGTGATTGTATGTACGTGCAGTATATTGTCAGGTTTTAGTTAGAGCACATAAATGCTGGAGCTGAATTTGCTATTTTACAGTTTGTCAGTCACATAATCCCAAAGATCTTTATCAAGCAGTGTGGTGGTGTTTGTACCAGTAATAACAAGCATAGTAAATAGACCAGGCAGGATGCATGCAACATCAGCTTGAGGGAACCTTCCTGAAAGTCTTCTGTGAATGGGAGTATGGACATTTCTAGAGTTAGTAACACTGAAAGCTTTTGCTCTTCTGATCCAGTGCCATGTAACTCTGAAAAATATCAATTTGAATCATAATGCTGGCAGTTGTTAATGACCTGTGTATCTGAAAACTCATGGTGTTGTAATTTGAGTGTGCCCAAATCGGGACTTGGAAATAGCAAGAAAGTCTTAAGTATCTTAGATAAATAGGACCTTAGAGGACTTTATGCAGGAAATGGGGGGGACACCTTCTTGTCTTGCAGACTTCTTTTAAAGGGGCTATATCTGTTCTATATATATCATAGCTAGACTTCAGATCTGTGTAGCTATGATGTGGAGGAAAAGATGTCCATGCTGTACCTCTAGCAGTTAGCTGCTCAGGCCGTAAGTAAGCTGTTAGCAGAGGCAGGACTTGAGTGCTCAGTAACATGGCAGTGGTTATAAATTCTTACACAAGTGTAACTGAGTAGCACTTTTGTGGAAAGTGAGCTGTCTTCCTGGACACACAAACCTAACAGTGGCTCTGTCACTGGATCTCTTAGCATCTTGCTGTATAGCGTCTTGCTGTATTTTGAACTTGTGGTGAGAGATGTACCGTACGTGTTCACTTTAAGTCTTTTCATAGCTGCAGAGAAGTAGGGCTGTATTTCAGGAATCTATAATGACCAAAGCACCGGTATGGAACCTCTACCTCCAAAAAGTATGTTTAGAGAGCTACAAGATAGAAGTAGTTGTTTAAAAGAGGATCTGTCTCACTGGGAGTGATTGAGTACTGTCTTGAAATTTGTGGAGTCTGAGGTTGTGGTAGGAAAGATGGATAAGGGGAGAAGAAAATTGCAAATGCTGGGGAGGACACTTAGAACAGATTAGAGAAGAGAGGATAATGGGTTAAATAGTTTTGGTTTGCCTGTGTGATGTGTCCTAGAACTCTGCGTGCAACTCTAGAGTCTTATATCACTGATCCTTGTTTTTTATGAGCATTCATGAAGAAAGCCATTATCTCCCCTATTGTTGTTTACTATCTTAAATAGTGGAGGCTGATCTGAAGTTTCTGATTCTATTCTTGGCATCCTACTGCTGTACTGCTGACAGAATTTGCCATGTGATAGCTAGTTGTGTAATATCGGTTTCTTTAAATTCTTAAATAAAATGCAAAGTCTACATTGAAACAACCTCTAAGTTGTAAAGTCAAACAACTCGTAAGTTCCAGAATTGAGCTTGCCTCTGCTTTTCTAATTAAGTTCTCTTGCTGCACCTTATGATACCATCTTTAATTACACAATCACATTAGTTTTTCCAAAGCTGCTTGCTTCACTTCATGCGCAGGACAGATCTGCTCGAAGGGTGAATCAGGGCTGTGTAATGAAGGACACCTTTTGCCTGGAGAAGTCTGAACTTTTACAGAAATGGAAAGATTTCTGTTTGAAGGAGAGGGCTGGCGAAGAGGGAGCTGGCAGTAATTGGACAGGTGATCTGGAAGAATGGGTTAGTTAAATATTCCTTTGGATTATTAGGTCTGGTATTAGGCAAACTACTTAAAGCAGGTTTATTCTAAATGGTCTCTGAGCATTCATCTTCTTTTCTGAGTGGTTTTTGGCAGAAATGTTGAGCTCTTAGAGCTGCAAGCACAATCACCAGAAGCTATGAATTGAACATACAGTGGTCCCTATGGTTGTTAGTAATGATAAACAAAACAGATCCTAAGCCTCTGGAGTTGTGTTCTCAAATGCTTGCTATTCTGGTCCTTGTTTGAACATGTATATACATATAGCATGTATATAGAACATGTAATATATATATAGGTGCAGGGAAACAGAATCATAGAATAGTTAGGGTTGGAAAGGACCTTAAGATCATACAGTGCCACCCCCCCCTGCCGTGGGCAGGAACACCTCACACTAAACTATCTCACCCAAGGCTTTGTCCAACCTGGCCTTGAACACAACTGGGGATGGAGCATTCACAGCTTCCTTGGGCAGCCCATTCCAGTGCCTCACCACCCTTACAGTAAAGAACTTCTTCCTTATATCCAATCTAAACTTCCCCTGTTTAAGTTTTAACCCATTACCCCTTGTCCTATCACTACAGTCCCTAAAGAAGAGTCCCTCCCCAGCATCCCTATAGGCCCCCTTCAGATACTGGAAGGCTGCTATGAGGTCTCCACGCAGCCTTCTCTTCTCCAGGCTGAACAGCCCCAACTTTCTCAGCCTGTCTTCATACAGGAGGTGCTCCAGTCCCCTGATCATCCTCGTGGCCCTCCTCTGGACTTGTTCCAACAGTTCCATGTCCTTTTTACGTTGAGGACACCAGAACCGTACAAAATACTCCAAGTGAGGTCTCACGAGAGCAGAGTAGAGGGGCAGGATCACCTCCTTCGAGCTGCTGGTCACGCTCCTTTTGATGCAGTCCAGGATACGGTTGGCTTTCTGTGCTGCGAGCGCACACTGCAGCCAGCTCATGTTCATTTTCTCATTGACCAACACCCCCAAGTCCTTCTCTGCAGGGATGCTCTGAATCTCTTCTCTGCCCAACCGGTAGCTGTTGGTGGGATTGCTCCAATCAAGGTGTAGGACCTTGCACTTGTCATGGTTAAACGTCATGAGGTTGGCATCAGCCCACATTACAAGCGTGTTGAGGTCCCTCTGGATGGCATTCCTTCCCTCCAGCGTATCAACCGAACCACACAGCTTGGTGTCATCGGCAAACTTGCTGAGGGCACACTCAATCCCACTCTCCATGTCACCAACAAAGATGTTGAACAAGACCGGTCCAAACACCGATCCCTGAGGGACACCACTCGTTACTGGTCTCCAGCTGGACATTGAGCCATTGACCACAACTGTTTGCGTGCAGCCATCCAGCCAGTTCTTTATCCGCTGAGTGGTCCATCTATCAAATTGATGTCTCTCCGATTTAGAGACAAGGATGTTGTGTGGGACAGTGTTGAATGCTTTGCACAAGAATGCAGAACCATCTTTTGCTTTCTGCTTGTGTTAGAAATATTAAAGTTGTACCCTGTACATTGGTGTACATTTTGAAAATGGTGAATGTTTGCTGCTGCTTTTAGGACAGGCTATAGGTTTTCCTGTGCTAACAGTTTCAAGATTATAAGCACAAGCAGGAAGCAGAGTTCTGCAGAGAAAAGAATTTTATCTTTTAAGATACATGGAGAGAAATACGTGTTACACTGGTAAAGAATTGCTACATAGGCTGTGGCAACATGGAGTAAAAAATTTCCTCATGTGTTTCACTAACCTAATGAATCCCAGAGGTCCAGGGGCCCTGGGATCTTAATGAAGACTGGTGAAAAGGAGAGCACATCAAAATGCAGTCTGTTATGGAAATCAAAACCTGCTAGGACGTACATGAACTGTAGGAACTTGCAGTGCATTTGTTGTATTCCTAGACAATTTGCACATTGGTGTTGTGGAGATTATGGTTTGGCTGGAGTTTTGGGGGAATTCTTTGTTTATTGTTTGGTTTGAGTTTTTTTGGGGGTGTTTTGTTTTGTTTATGCTATGGCCCAGAACGGAATTCAGTTAAAGCCTAATTGGTTTGTAAAAAGGAGACTCAAAATGTAAAGCTTGTGGAGGGGGAAGGAAAGGGGGGAGGGACACAACTGTCTGACATAGATACAGGTGCTTGAGGGGATAATATGTTCTCTTAAGCCTCTCAAATATCTGGAAGATATCTGTCTTTGTTTCATTTTAACTTTCCCCTGCAGGTGTGCAACTACTTTGATACTTGGTTATCTAGGATATTAAATAATGGATTAAAAGAACATTTCAATGTTTGGTCTTATTCTCAGAGTCCTTTAATATGACATCTCAATTTATTTGGCTTTGAGTACATGAAGGTTTTATCTTTTCTGTTGTTTGTAGTTACTTTGGTATTGATACAGATGCATTCTTCTACTTGAATATGTTGTTCCACAGATATTTTCAATTTTTTATGATATGATTTTGGCCAGAAAACGTGAAGTGTCTGTGACTATATCTATTCATGGAAATATTGTTTTTAAAAAATAGAGAAACAACCTGTACTTTTTTTTTTTTCCACCTGTATAGTCTATACAACATTAATTACGAAGCAGCTGTGAAGAGGCATGGTCAGATGGCAAAAATGTCACAATGAAGAATTGAAAATGTAGTGACATATGCATAAAATGCTCACTGCATGAGCTTCTGTTATGTTTATTTCAGTAGCATCTTAATTCTGTTGCTGATCTCAAATGTTTGAGCATTAGAAATTGTTATGAGGAAAAAATTGAAGTTGGTCCCATATAATCTGCTTTAAAAAGTTCTATCCTCAAACTGAATTAAAAGAAATAAAGGTTTTGTTGTTCTCTTTAAGTATATTCTTTTCTGTTACACACTGCTATTTGATGTGCATATGTGTTTTGTTTTGTTTTTTCAACAGATTTCTGTGGATACCAAAGCTCAAATCACAATGCCGGTCTCATCGGGATGCTTGAACATCTGCAGCTAATTACAGGACTTTAAAAAGAAAATCAGCATGGCCTAGTTGGTTTCACCTTTGGAAAACTTATAATGTCCTCTGGAACCAGTATCAGCAAAAATCGCCAGGCTCCAAGCCTGCAGGGTGTTGACCCAGAAACATGCATGATAGTGTTTAGAACTCACTGGGCACAGGTAATGTTAATTAGTTTTATTGATTGGAAGTAGGCTGCATTAATAGGAATTTGCTTCTTTCTTTCTTTGGGATAATCCTGAATTGCAAAGGCACAAATGCCCTTAATGCAGTATGTAGTAGATGACACTGAAACCTTCTTAAAACACAAAGGTAATTGACCTTTCAAGGTATGGTTAGGCTTTACTAATCACACATTGAATTTCAGATTTACATCTAAATGAGAAGTGGTAGGACATGGTAATTTCTAATGGAAGGCCTAGATCTTCTTACTGGCTTTTCTAGTGATTCACAGTGACTTGTACCTTGTTGCAAACCTTTATGCTTCCTTACGCTGCAGAGAGCTTGCTTAGCTTTTATGAAATATATTTGATACATGGTGCAAAGCTGTACGCAGTGTTGTTTGTTATGGATAAATGTAGATTATGCACTTCATCATATTCCAGAAATTGTTTGCATGTCATCAGGATTATAATTGCTTTTAGGCAAAGATGTTTTGCTCTGAGCACCGCAATACAAGGTCTTATTTGCTGCAGTAATATGAATAACTAAGGGCTTATGTAAAATTGATTTCTGTGCTGCTGCTTTTGCTATTTTCCGGCCATCCTGACAACAAGCTAGATGAGTGGTGGTGTTTCTGAGATGTTTCCAGAGTCAGGGGAGCCATCATTTAAAACTCACCTTTGAGTTAGCTTAAAGGTTATCACTTAACTATAGTGATACCGTCATTTTAGGGGAGTTGCTAGGTTTCTTTGTGGTTTGTGGCAATTATCCTTCACAAAAAGGCTAAAAAATGTAGCTGTTTCACAGACAGCAAGCTTCATCGATTGTGTGTAGAACAGAATTTAATCCAGGGGTGTCAATTCTGGGATGACAGTTGTTACTCAATACTAAATCCATATTTAATGTTGCAAGTGTATGTGGGTATCGGTGACCATTTGGTATCATGTGTTCAGTTCTGAGCTTGCCATTACAGGAGAGATACTGAATTGCTGGAGCAGGTCCAGAGAAGGACAATAAAGCTGGTGAGGGGCCTGGAGCTCCAGTCTGATGAGGAACGGCTGAGGGACCTGGCGTTGTTTAGTCTGGAAAAAGGGAGGTTCGGAGGGGGCCTTATTGCTCTCTACAACTATCTGAAAAGAGGATGGAGGGGAGGAGGTGGCTGATCTCTTCTCCCAAGTAACAAGCAATAGGACAAGAGATAATGGCCTCAAGCTGTGCCAGGGGAGGTTTAGAACGGATATTAGGAAAAATTTCTTCACCACAAAGATAGTCAGGCATTGGAAGAGGATTACCCAGGGAGTCACTGGAGTCACTGTCCCTGGAATTGTTCAAAAGCAGTGTAGATGAGGCCCTTAGTGATATGGTTTAGTGGTGGACTTGGCAGTCCTGGGGTAAAGGTTGGACTTGATGATCTTAAAGTTTGGACTTGATGAACTCAGATGAAACTAGTTGATTCTGTGGCTCTATGAAAGATGTGGCCAGGAAAGATTAGCTTTGTGGCCTTTTGCTGCTTTTACTATTGCAGATCATCGCATGATATTGACACTTTTGAGCACAGTTACTCTGGCTGAAGAACAGGCCTTTTGATTTCAGTCCTCTGTGACAAAGAACCTTATTCCAAACATCACTGAAACTCAGTTTCTGAAGGCTGAGGAAACTTAGTTTATCCATACTTCAGAGAAGCCCAAGTTTTCAGCAATAAGACAAGTGGCAAACTTAGGTATTATTAATGTTAAAACATTAAATATATAAATTATATGTTATAACGTAAAATATTTTCTAAGTAAACAAAAGCATTGTTTTGGCCTCATGTATGCCAAATGTGATAATCTCTGATACTAAATTTAGAAAGTTTGACAGACAAAAACTAAAAGCATAAAGAGTTTGCACATTTTAAGTAATTTTAAGTAAGGATTTTTTTTCTCCCCTTATGGGGTAAGTGAATATTTTTTTAAAAAGCGTTTAAATAACTGATGTGCCTTTGTTTCCCTTTAGGTTGTGAAGATTTTAGAGAAGCATGATCCTTTGAAAAACACTCAGGCAAAGTATGGGGCAATTTCACCTGATGAGGCCAGCACTGTTCAGAACTATGTGGAGCACATGCTTTTCTTGTTAATTGAGGAGCAAGCAAACGATGCCTCAATGGGGCCTATTTTGGAGTTTGTGGTCTCAGAAAACATCATGGAGAAGCTTTTTCTTTGGAGCCTCCGACGAGAGTTCACGGATGAGACAAAAATCGAGCAACTCAAAATGTATGAAATGTTAGTAACGCAGTCTCATCAGCCTTTGCTGCATCACAAGCCCATCTTGAAGCCTTTGATGATGTTGCTGAGTTCCTGCTCGGGAACAGCCACTCCAACAGTGGAAACAGAGTTGGTTGTCCTCTTGAACCAGCTCTGCTCTATAATAGCCAAAGATCCCTCCATTTTAGAACTGTTTTTTCACACCAGCGAGGACCATGGAGCTGCCAATTTCCTTATATTTTCCCTGCTGATTCCCTTCATCCACCGAGAAGGAACAGTAGGCCAACAGGCCCGTGATGCACTGCTTTTCATAATGTCTCTGTCTGCAGAAAACAATGTTGTTGCAAACCACATAGCAGAAAACACCTACTTTTGCCCAGTAAGTTGTTCTTGGTTTACTTGATCTTTTAAACTAACTGTCTTCTCTGTACTCTTCTCATCCTTGTCTGTCATTTTTTATGAAGATGTGTTGCAACACATTTGTTTCTGCTAGCAGCTGTTTCACCAATTGTAAGCTGTTTAAACCAAACACAGTCTTGCTCCTTGTTTCCGTATGAAAGTCTTGTGGGTTTGGGTCCAGCACAAGTGTTTTTGCAGTCACACAGTGTATTGAATTGGGAAACTAATGGAAGTTACAGCAGAACTTGATGGGAGGGAAACCTGTTCTGTCTTACTTTAAGACCGCTATGAGATTCTGGGGGTGAAGGGAGTGAGAAATAGGAACAAGGTGTTCCGAGGCTGTTGTTTCTGGTGGCAGTTCTAGTGTAAGCAGGCTGTGCTTACCACACTACATCAGTTCAAAAAATGTATGAAAATAGTGCGTTATAGAAATGTAGTATTTTTGCAAGCTAAATCTTTGCAAGCTTGATCTTTCTTACAGGATTGGACATTTCTGTGGCC